GCTAGTTAGGATGAAACCTTGGAATAGTTAATATTTGCATGTATAATAGAGAAAACATAGATCCAAGGTTTATAGGGTTGCATGTACACCATAGGAGTGTTAGAATGCTCAAAACCCAACAGATTTCTTCAAGATTGCAGTACCCCTCACTCGTCTGACGAGGAAGGGGGTGGATTTCCGACAGGGTGCTAAGCAACAGTCTGCATTTGAGACCCTTCGGTAGAGATTATGCGATGCCCCAGTTTTGACCCTCCCATAGGGAATTGAGGATTTTGTGGTATTCTGTGATGCGTCCATCACTGATTTGGGGGCGGTCCTCATGCAGAGAGGACGGGTGATAGATTACGCTTCGCGACAGCTGAAGCCGCATGAGCACGATATCCCACACATGATTTGGAGTTGTGGGTAGTGGTTTTTGCCCTCAAGATTTGGAGGCATTATCTTTATGGGGTCCACTGTACTATCTACACGGATCACAAAAGTTTTAGACATATTATGGATCAGCCGAACCTGAACATGAGGCAGCGCAGGTGGCTGGACGTAGTTAAGGATTATGAGTGCGAGATCCTTTACCATCTGGGTAAACCGAATGTGGTTGCGGATGCCTTGAGCTAGAAGTCAGCTAGACCTTTAGTTGGGATATCGTGTATGAGGATATCAGTGGATTCCCCGCTATTGGGATTAATTAGGGAGGCTCAGGCCGAGGGTGTTCGGGAAGAGAATTGGAAGAAAGAGAGGATCAGGGGTGAGATTATCAGATTTGTTACGGCTGGTCGTGGGTTGTTGACCCGATGCGGTCCGGTCTGGGTTCCAATGTCTGGTGGGGTCAGACAGACAGTATTGGAGGAGGCTCATAAGTCTCGTTTTTCTATCCATCCGGGGGCCACCAAGATGTATCGGGATCTGAGATTAAGCTATTGGTGACCGTGTATGAAGAGGGAGATCGCTTGGTATGTGGAGAGGTGCATGACCTGCAGGATGGTCAAGGCTGAGCATTAGAGGCCACATGGCAAGCTGCAACCTCTAGAGGTTCCCATGTGCAAATGGGAGCATATGTCGATGGATTTCATCACCAAGTTGCCGAAGAAGACAATGGGTTTTGATGCTATTTGGGTCATCGTGGATCGATTAACTAAGAGGGCCCACTTCCTGGCAGTTTGGGAGAGTTCTTCGGCCGAGAAGTTGGCCGATGTGTATGTTCACGAGATCGTTGCTTGACAAGGGGTCCCGGTCGCCATTGTTTCAGACCGTGATGTTCGGTTCACCTCCTATTTTTGGCAGAAGTTCCATGAAAAACTGGGCACGAGGTTGCACTTCAGCACAACTTATCATCCACAGACCGACGACCAGAGTGAACGGACGATACAAACCCTTGAGGATATGTTGCGTGCCTATGTCATCGATTTTGGTGGGACCTGGGACTCCTACCTACCTCTTGCGGATTTCTCCTACAACAACATTTATCACTCCAGCATTGGTGCTCCGCCTTTTGAGCTTTTGTATGGGCGGAGATGTCGTACCCCGGTTTGCTAGGGCGCGGTTGGACACAGGGTTATGGGGCGGACCGAAGTGGTCCTTCAGACCATGAAGATGATTCAGCAGACCAGGCAGAGATTGCAGACTGCTTATAGTCAGCAGAAGAGCTATGCCGGCCGGCACCGATCTGAGTTGGAATTTAAGGTCGGCGACATGGTGTTACTGAAGGTCTCACCTTGGAAAGGTGTGATTCGCTTCAGGAAGAGGGGGATGTTGGGTCTCCGATATATCAGACCGTTTCAAGTGATCGCCAAGGTTGGCAAGGTTGCTTACAGCTTGGATCTTCCTGAAGAGCTCTGTCAGATTCACAACACTTTCCATGTTTCGCAGCTGCGAAAGTGCATATTGGATGTGGATGCGGTGGTTTCCTTGGATGATACTCAGGTTGATGAGCTCCTGAACTATGTTGAGAGGCCATTAGCTATTCTGGATAGGAAGGTAAAGGTCTTGTGTAGCAAGGCAGTACCTTTGGTAAAGGTACGGTGGCAGCACCGTAGGGGCTCCGAGTGGACCTGGGACACGGAGCCTGAGATGCGGGAGCATTATCCATAATTGTTCTCCACAACAGACTTCGAGGACGAAGTCAAGTTCAAGTGGGGGAGATTTGTAACACACCCGTTTTCAGGTATTTTGAAATTCATCCGTATGTTTTAGTTCATGACATTTTGGTCCTTGTATTAAAAGGAAGTAGCCATGAGACGCCCTAGTGGCAAGATTGTAATTTTGGGGCAGGAGGTGTACGCTAAGCGTACATGTGGGTACGTTGAGCGTACTAGGGCGCGCCCTAGTACGTTGGGCTTACACATATGCACGCTGGGCGTACTCATGTTAGAAAGAAACCCTAAGTTTTAGGGTTTGAGGGGTATCCAAAAATCCTCATGGCTCATTTATCCCCACATTTTTAGCCTCTAAATCCTTAGAGTCGTCCCTTGCAATACCCTAGTCCCTCAAGTGTGTGTTGAGCTAAAAAGTGTGTTTTGGTGTGCTCAAGGAAGAAAGAGTAGCATCAAGGAGCATAGAAGTGGAAGCAAGCTTGTGGATCTTGGATCATTACCTTCTTGAGGAGCTCCAGAAGGCAAAAAAAAGTCTTCACCTTGATGCTTTGATTGCTTGGATCTCATTTTGGTAACCTTATGTTGTTCTTCTTGTCTCAAAAGTCCCATTTTTATGCATGTTTGGTTTTAGACGTTTTGATCTGTCCTTCCAGACCCTAGGAAGGGTCCTAAGCCATAAAAATGAGGTCCCTTTAGCTACTTTGGCTCCATGCATCTTGTAGAAGTTCTAAATGGACTAAGACCTTGTGTTAAGGACTTTATGGACGTGTAAAGTCATAAAGTTGGAAACTTGATGAACCTAGTATGCCTCTAGACCTTGCATCTGAAGTATGAGTTTAACGCTGAAGCCATTAAGCACTTAGTGAAGAATTTAGGGTTGCGACGTTACGCCCCGCGTAGCTTGGTGTATACCCCGCGTACCCGGTCAGCCACCCTGGTGGCGGTCTTCTGCGAAGCTTCGGGTATGCTGAGCATATCTTCGGAGTATGCCCGCGTAGTCACATGGGTCAGCCCATGTTGAGTTAACTCGGTTGGGTTGACTCAGTGGGTTTATTGACTTTGACCAATTGACTTTGAGTATGACCAAGTTTGACCAAGTTTGACTTTAAGTGTATTTTGGGATTTTGATGGAATCGGTCACTTGGTGGATATAGGCATTGATTAGAGAGCTGAGATTCCGAGTCAGGCATTATCAGTTTTGTTCAGCTTGTGAGGTGAGTTTTCCTCATTGTACTTTCGGGTCGAAGGCACCAAGGCCGACCCATTGGTTTAATAACCTGATATTCATTGATATGTTGAGTATGGAATAGATATTCATGCTAGTTTTGTTATCCTAGTCTGGTAGATCTGTAGGACTACCTGTGATACTGTATGTTTGTCTGTATATGATATTATCTATTATATGTCGATATATTGTGTGGGTTGGGTTGAGGTTGTATTGCTCTGTGATGTAGCCAACAAACCCTGGAGCAAACCAGATATGAGCTGAGAGCCAGGGAGGGTATGCCAGACTCGTACTAAGGGCTCATGAGCATTCCAGATACGAGCTGAGGGTTGGGAAGGGCATGCCAGACTCGTACTGATGGCTTAGTGGTATTCAGTCCGAGGACTGATCAGGCCGGCGAGCAAGCTAGACATAAGCTGTGAGACCCAGGGGCAAGCCAGACTTATGCCGTGGGCTTAGGGAGCAGGCCAGACATAAGTTGTGGGCCAAGGGCAAGCCAGACTTATGTTGTGGGCTTAGGGGTAATCCAGTCTGTTAGCTATGGACCCATTGCATGCTATTATTATATATGTTCTATTTGTTTGTGTATTAGTATTTTGGGGGAACTCACAAATCTTTGGGCTTACGGTTTTAGATTATGCTTCAGGTACCTTAGAGGATCGCGGGAAGGCGAAGGCGTGATCGTGCACCTCCTCGAGTTTTGTTTTATGATTTTGGAAAAAACTCTAATAATGATCATGTTTAAAAACTATTTTGTAAACAAGGATGATTTTATGATTTTGGAAAAAACTCTGATAATGATCATGTTTAAAAACTATTTTGTAAACATGAATTTTATGGATGTTACAATTGAGGTCCTTTTTCAACATCTCACGTCTAGCCCTAAAACATCTCCAAATTTTTTTCTTTCACGCATTGGTATGTATCGCTCTCTATGTTCACTAGGTACAACCAGAGAACAGTCGATGCTCCACCATATCACCATCTTCGGCCATCACCATCGTCCACATCTCCATCTCCGACCGTCTCCACCGCAGGTATATGTTTTGTGTTTTGTTTTTTTGATGATATCTTGCTTTTTGCTGATATATTGAATGCAATAAATTGCCATATCGCTGGTATATTGAACACAAGAAGCATATTAAGTTGAGATGGGAAAACATTCATCTACTATTTCGCGTACCTCTTTCAATTTCACAAAGGTCTTGTTTCAAGTTCACAAGCTGAATTACATTTGGGTGTTTAAAATTTTTAGACGTCCGCTTCCAACGGAGTTGTGATGATCGGCCAATCACCTTTGTATATATAAGCTTTTGGGGAGAAATTTTTCACCAAGAAGGACAGAGGATAAAGATAAAGGGAAAAGGAGGCGACCAGCTAACCCTGGAAAACTATGCAGGATGTGGCGATAAGGTAGGTCTATAATCGATACGACTCCTTCAACCCACAGTGTTCTAAAGTTCACATTTTCTAATCTTGAATCCTTGAATAGCACCAAAGGTGTATTTAAACTTAGAATCAATTTCCTTTTTATGATTGTTTGAATTGAATGAATTATAAAACACTTGGAAATGTAGGTAAAATCTTAAATTCAGAAGTGGTTTTGTTTTATTATGAAGCATCAAAAATTTTCTTCTGTTTTACCTACTCACAAAGAAACGAGGATCTCCACAAGCATCAAACTCCTAAAAGGTGACTTCGCGACCCCATGGCCCACCATCCTCATGCTCGGCCCGCAAAATCCTAAGCTGCTCATCCACCACTGCGTTCAACTCTTCCTTGACAATGCTGATCAATCCAGGCAAATCCTCTCTCACGAACCTTGAAATATCCATAGCTATGATGTCAAAGACATCCCCCTCACTCAGACATGAACCACCAACATGAAAATTCTCCATCCTGAATCTAAAAGATACAGAAACATATCAAAATCAATGCATAGCGCATACCCACACTATGCATACCCACTAAAGAGTGTTTGAAATAATGTTTGAATCAATCAAAAAATATGAAAGAGATAAAGAAGACCTAGATCTATCATCTGCTTAGCTCCGATTAAGTCTGAGAGAGTATAAATGGTTTTCGAGTACAAAGTGTAAACGGAGAGTGTTCCTTACTCTAGACCTAAGTACTTACCCTATTTACAAGGTACATTAGAGATACAAAAAATACAAGGACTAGTCTATATATATATCGAAACCTAAAATTTCCTTGTAAATAGCTTAGATAATAAAAGTGCTTAACTTTTGTTATTTACAGACACAAACTCTAAGGATATAGATTTCAACTCTCACTACAACTTTCAACTCTACAATCTCCCTTAGTGAGAATAGTCGAACCATCAAGCTATAATATTCATTGTCTGTAACAGCCCCCTTTGAATCTCCATATACCAAATAATGATTTTCTGGATCTCTGCTTTATCTTCATTGTCGTTCCTCTTGTAGTTATTGATATAGATTAAAAGATTCGAAAAAGAAGAGTTTGAGTATCTTTCAGTGTCATTTAGTTGGAATAGAAATTTTGTCAACCTGTCCTTCTTGTTTTTTCCTTGGAACACTACGCCAAAAGGATCATGAATAATCTCACCATCTTGAAACTTATCAATGTTTATCCTTCCCTTCAACAATGATCGAGGCACCTTTGAGGTTTTATTAATTGCCAAGGCAAGATTTATATGTGTAATCGCCAAATACTCATAGTAGCAATCAAGAAATGCCTTTATGTGACCATATCCAAGAATAAATACATCTCTATTCACCTATGTCACTTTCAAAACATCAACATTGCAAAAAATATTTGATATAGTGATGAGATCATTCATATTCATCAATGGAAAGTCTGCAATTGTGAACTCGAATGCCACATTATTTTCCCTTACGACTGGGTATCAAAAGTTCTACAAAATCCCTCAAACAACACATCAGGCACTATTGACATTACTTTGACAATCTTTACCAATGATCAAACTTCCTCTTCATTCTTTCCCAAGACTGCATGAAAAAGAATCTTCAATCTCTTGTATTCATATTTGTCGTTAAAGTTGTCAAATATTTTGAACTGAGTAGACTTGAATAACATATGATCGATTGGGAAATCAAGTTGATTGAGTTCTGAGTTTTCGGTGTCATAACTTTTCTTTAGCCTTTTCAAGAATTCATCATTCTTACCAAGTACTACAATTTCTATTGTTTCGTAACACCAATGCTAGTTAGGATCGCCTTTGTTCAATCCTGGTGGATCATTCACCCTTTGACTCAGAATACTATTAATTTTCCTTTGTCTTTCAATCTCTATTGCTTGTAACATCTTCTTCTCCTCGACGGTTTGTTCAACTTGAATACATTTCCCTTTCTCTGTGGGATCAACATTTGAGGTTGATTTAACAAGGGAAAAACTCGAAGCTTCATCTCCTTTATTAATCAGAATTCATTTATTTTAAGCTTTCGATTGATCAATATTCCTTTGTGAAAGATTCGCTCTTGAAGTGGTTGTTGTTGATGATGTGATAACTGTATTCATTGGAATTGTTGTTGGAATTTGCATAGACAATTTCCCCAAAACTACTCTTGTATCTTCACCAGATCCCTTAGATGAACCTACGCCAACACCTTTATCTCTCCCTTGCGAGACGTGCACAAGACGTGTAGTATTTGTTGGTAGTCGAAGTACCAAAATCAGGATCAGAGCCAACTCAGCCTTGATACTTGACTCAATGTTCAAAACCATAGAAGAAATAGAATATTGAGAAATAGAAGATTGAGTCGAAAGATCAACTTTCGATAATGTCTCTTTAAAATCAGATAAAAACTCTTCAACTTTCTCAAACACCTTGTTATCCTTCCTAATATTAAGTTTTATATCTTTCGAATAGTCGTTGTTGAACGTGCTGATATCTTCGATAAGGCGAGTTGTTGCATTTGCTACAACATCAACCTTTTTATGCAACAAGTTGTAGTTATCATCTAACTTATTAACCTCTTTAGCCATCAAGGTTCGAAGCTCATTAACCTGGAGCTCAAGAGAAGCTTTCATCTCAGACATTTGTTGCACAAAGAGCTCATGACGCTCTTTCGCAGCTTCACGTAGCTTAGTAATCTCATAATCAAGCTTGCGAGACTGATTATCCATTCTCTCTTTATGTTTCTTATTAACACTTTTTAATGATTGTTCTCAAACAAGACTCTTGAGACTTTAGAAGATATTCAACTTCAACTCCACTAACTGAGTTCTTGCCTCTAGTATCAGCCAAAAATTGAAGAATAGAATTCATTTTTGAGTTAAGAATCTTGAACTGTTTACCAGACATGATTAACTCATTAGGTATATCTTCTTCTTCAAGATTGAAATGCAACTCAATGAATGAAACCATGACATCATCATCATTTGCTTCAACTTCATTAATGGTTTTCATAAGTTCAGTTGATTGAGATGAGAAAAGTGTAGCAATAGGTTCTTACATTACACCAGAAAAATATGGAGAAAATGCTATAGTAGATGAAGGTGGAGTAACTGATGTAGGTGGTGGAGAAGTTGGTTGTGGTGGAGGAATAATAGTTGTTTTGATGGTTATGGTAACAATTGAAGTTTCGACTGTTGTTGTTTCTGTTGTTGTTGCCACGACAATATGCATCCCTTCACGCATATTGGCATTTGTGTCCTTATTAGATATGTTCATAGTGATGTCCGGAGTTTCGACCTCCCCCATAATGGACCCAGTATGTGAAACCCCGGGTGGTATGACTTTCGTCTGCTCAAGGATTGTTGTGTTCTGTTGTGCACCAGAATCGATGTTTACATCCGTATTAGATACATTTGCATTGACATTAGGAATACATGTCTCCTCGATAGACGATTTGACAGGGGTATCCTTTCGTGGCGACACATGAAACAAACTTCCCATCTCTGTATCTGTTCCATCCATGTCATGTTCTTATTCCACAATAACATCTTCTATTTTATCTTCAGCAGGAGTTGACCTTCGCTTCTTTAACTTTTGCACTACATCTAAAGCATTCCTCTTTCTTGATGTAGGAGAACTAGGAGACGAAACATATCGAATCACAACTCCTCTTCGTGTAAACTTCTCTCAAAATTTCCTTCCTCCTAGTCATTTGACGCGAGCATCCACTATCGATATACCAGTTTTCTTCATATCACTCGTCACATTGTACCTGCAATCAGTTATAGAGATTTAGATCCCCAAGACCTTTTGGGTCCTTGGACATTAGCATGGAAAGTATTATACAATGATGAATAGAAAATCCAACTCTAAACTTTAGTTTTAATTTTGTCAATTAAATGAACGTTGTGAGCTTTAGGCATAGAAATGTAATCATGTAATAACGCAGTTTCAACTTTGAGTTTCTCTTTTTCAACCTTTTCTTGAGAAACATCCACTTTCGCTGCTTTAATCTTTTTTCATTTGTAACTTTCGACACTGATTCTTGAGAAGCGGTACTTCCATTTGGAGACTCATTTAAGTATTCTCATAAGCCTCACAGACTTGTTCTTGAGAATAGTTTTGATTGAAAATTTCGACCTTTTCTTTCCAACCAACGATTTAGATTTTAGTTTCATTTCTGCCTTTGAAAAAAGATGCTTTCGATTTTTAATTCAAATCAGGATTTGGAAAAGATGGTCCAATAGGCTTAAAATACACATTCTTCTTTACAACATTTGTCATCTTTGTAAAATTCCTTTGAGATGATGATTTTTGTGATCGTTGTTGAAAGCGATTTTGGTATCGTTATTGATAACCAAAATGTGAATCTTTTTGAAAGATCTTTTATTTTGGGAAAAATTTCTTTGACCAATATTTTGAAACTCCATCATCTTATGAACATTTTCTCAACATAATTTTGATGAAAACTATTTTTTTTTTTGTTGAGTGTCAACATTCCTTTGACCATTATTCGAATTATATTGAGAGAAATGTTTTGAAGTACAAATTTTTGATGTTTGTGAAAATTTCTTTTCAGAATGTTGTTTATTCATGTATTTCAAATATTTTTCTTTCTGTTTTTCCTGTTGTTGTATCCAAGATGCCTTGTTTTGAGTTTTCTTTCCAGAAATTTAGTTTCTCAAATCAGATTTCACACCCTTTTCATTTTGATTTTGAAACTTCACATTTTGATTTGGAAAATTCACATTTTGATTTTTAAAGGAACTTTTTGTGCAACTAATTTTTATTTCTTTTTGAAATCATGAAAATTTTCCTTTTGATTATTACAATCATTAGGAAAAATTTTCTCATTGCTTTATTCAATTTTACTTTCAACTTTTGATTTCCCTGTTTTTACAACCCAAACTTTGTTGGAGTTCATTTCATTTTCTTTTGAAATGGATTTTTGACTCTTTTTCCTTTGAAAAACATGTGATCTTTTGTTTAACCTATTTTCCTCCATATCCTGATTTGAATAAAAACCTTCCTGAGTCACCATTTGATTATCCTTTTTGAATAATTCATTTATTTTTGGATCAAAAGGTTCAACATTTCCTTTCGTCACAAAGACTTGATTTGGAAGACCTTTGACACATGATGGATAAAGAACAAAATTCGTATCCAAATAATGTTTTCCTTTTTCTTTAAAAATATTTGAAAATTCCTTTGTATCACCATACACTTGAGTTTCTACAACTCGAGGAATTCCCTTCTCACTCAAATCATCATCACTATCACTTTCGTTATTAGTAATATCTCCAACAACTTCCTCCTTTTGTGAGTCACTAGATTTGATTGTCGAAGATGACTCATTGTTTAATTTCGCATTAGAATCAACATTATCTTTGTCTTTAGCCAACGATGTGACATTAATGACAAATAATTTCGAGAAGTCAACACATTCCTCTTCCTCAATTTCACTAATACTGTCAGAATCATCTTCGATATCAGCAAAATTTTGTTGAGTAATTTGTGTCGAATTCCTAGTCTTGTTTAAAATCTTGATTTGTTCACTTTTGGTTAAAGTCTCATTCACAATTTTAACAAGTTCATCAACATTTAAAAAATCATTTATGTTAACTTCGCTATTAGCATATGAATCAGTGGGGACAATGGTATAGTGAGCTACTTTACTTTCATAATCGAAAGTAGTCTCATCAACCTACTATTGTTTAAAAGTAATAAAGGGAAGCAACTTCCTATGTTGTTCTACATAGATGTCAGCAAAATGATAAAGATCTGTAAGTTTTCCATATAATTGTTTAGCAGTATTACAATAAATGTTTCGTTGTTTGATGAACACCTTATTATCCATCCTAAGAGTGTCCATATCACACATAATATTTGTAATGTAAAGCTCTAAACTTTCGATTTTAGTTTTTCTTCTCTTCAAGCCTATTACGATCGTACAAGGGTGCCTTAGAATTTTCTGCCTCACTACTCATTGAAATAAGTAAGTCATTCAAGTAAGAGAAAGTTTCATCAAATTCACACAAGACAGAATTATGAGAATTCAAAGGAATATTAAATGAGATTAGAATATCACATACCTTTGCAGTCAATGGGGCTTTAGGACTTGTTGACACAAAATATCTCCCTGTCATCTTCTCATCTTCTTTGTCATTTTCGTCTTGGACTTTCACATACTCCTCCAAATGTTCATCAATTTCTCCTTCTTCATACTTTGCATACAACACCCAGTGTGTAGGATTACACATATCTTCATCATCAGATCCAGATGACCAGATTTGATACGTTCCATCATTCTTATCTCCTCCTCTGGCCACGAGTGAAAGATTTTTTGTATGAGCATGGACTTCTTCCAATCTTGTCATGTAATACGCCTCATCTTTCTCCTTCTTTTTATTCTCTTCCAAATTTCGTTACATGCAATCTTTAGCCAAATGATTGTGACCATTACAGTAATTGCAATTATATCCAAAATCTCATTTCAATTTTATTTCTGTCTTCTTATCATCTTCTTTCTTCTCCATTTACGCTTTCACATTTTGACTTCCACCAAAATTTGACACTTGCTTCTTTTAAAAATTGTTCTTAAAACCTCCATTGATTGGTTTCTTGATAAACTTTTTCACTCTATTATTAGAGTAATAAGCAACCGCTTCATCATCAGAATTGATTAGAAATACTTCTTCATCTTCTTTTGCATCACTCTCAGACTCATCTTCCTTCACATTTTCTTTCGACACCAACACCATTGGACCACCATAGTTCAACTTGTTTTCCTCAACAATTTCCATTATCTCTTTCTCATGCGTTTTGAGAATATTGTACAAATTTGATAACAAAAGAGTATCAAAATTATCTTGTGTCTTGATTATCAAGCATATGTTTCTCCATTCCTTTCTAAGTCCATATACAAAAGTAAGATTGAATTCAAGAGCAGTACGTTTTATCCCATATCGATTTCATCTGAAAATAAGATCATTCATCCTGTCCTAATGAGCTTCAATGTTTTTGTTTTCTTTCTGCTTAAAAACAGCAAGTTCAGACAAACATTTTGTTACATAGCTCTTCATTGTTCTTTCATTAGCCTGATATTTCTCTTTCAGAGTGTCCCATATTTCCTTTGTAGTTATGCACCCACGTACGTAGTTGTAAACGACAGGAGGAAGAGCACCTCTGAATTCATGAAGAGATTTCTTATCACAAGCCTTTCTGGTGTTTGTTCGAGTAACCATGTCTGCAGCTGTTCTAGCAGTACAAACATTCTCAACCAAATCCTCACGATAATTTCCATCTTTGACAGACTTCCATAGATTTTCATATATGCCATTAAGATAATCTTCCATCCGATCGGCCCACTGATCATAATACTCAGGAATCTACATCGGAATCTTTGTTGGAGATCACTTGCGAGACGTGCACAAGACGTGTAGTATTTGTTGGTAGTCGAAGTACCAAAAGCAGGATCAGAGCCAACTCAGCCTTGATACTTGACTCAATGTTCAAAACCATAGAAGAAATAGAATATTGAGAAATAGAAGATTGAGTTGAAAGATCAACTTTCGATAATGTCTCTTTAAAATCAGATAAAAACTCTTCAACTTTCTCAAACACCTTGTTATCCTTCCTAATATTAAGTTTTATATCTTTCGAATAGTCGTTGTTGAAGGTGCTGATATCTTCGATAAGGCGAGTTGTTGCATTTGCTACAACATCAACCTTTTTATGCAGCAAGTTGTAGTTATCATCTAACTTATTAACCTCTTTAGCCATCAAGGTTTGAAGCTCATTAACCTGGAGCTCAAGAGAAGCTTTCATCTCAGACATTTGTTGCACAAAGAGCTCATGACGCTCTTTTGCAGCTTCACGTAGCTTAGTAATCTCATAATCAAGCTTGCGAGACTGATTATCCATTCTCTCTTTATGTTTCTTATTAACACTTTTTAATGATTGTTCTCAAACAAGACTCTTGAGACTTTAGAAGATATTCAACTTCAACTCCACTAACTGAGTTCTTGCCTCTAGTATCAGCCAAAAATTGAAGAATAGAATTCATTTTTGAGTTAAGAATCTTGAACTGTTTACCAGACATGATTAACTCATTAGGTATATCTTCTTCTTCAAGATTGAAATGCAACTCAATGAATGAAACCATGACATCATCATCATTTGCTTCAACTTCATTAATGGTTTTCATAAGTTCAGTTGATTGAGATGAGAAAAGTGTAGCAATAGGTTCTTACATTACACCAGAAAAATATGGAGAAAATGCTATAGTAGATGAAGGTGGAGTAACTGATGTAGGTGGTGGAGAAGTTGGTTGTGGTGGAGGAATAATAGTTGTTTTGATGGTTATGGTAACAATTGAAGTTTCGACTGTTGTTGTTTCTGTTGTTGTTGCCACGACAATGTGCATCCCTTCACGCATATTGGCATTTGTGTCCTTATTAGATATGTTCATAGTGATGTTCGGAGTTTCGACCTCCCCCATA